GGTTGCGGTGGGGGTGGACTGTGGGGATGCCGCTACGCCGGGTTTAGGTTGCTGCCGCGGCCGCTGGTGGGAAGAGGGGAGTGGCGACCGCTGAGGCTAAAGGAAGCACGGCTGCAGTGGTGGTTGCTGGCGGCGGAGGAGAGGCTGCGCCGCCCGTCTGGTGCCTTAGCCCGGCAGGCGTGTGGAGAGCCTATAGCTATGGCTAGGAAGGGCGCTGCTACGGCCGTGTCCGAATGGCGAAGCACGGAAGGGCGCTCCTGAGGCGTTAGTGGAGCAGAGTTCCCACCGGCCCCTACTGTGGTGTGCCCGGCGTAGCCTGTCCTACCTGCCTGGTGAAGTACCGCCCCCTCTCTCCCTTCACGTCCGCGGCCAGTTGCCCTCGGCTTCCTTAATGGTTCCCAGACAAGCGCCCTCCACACTGCCTCTATTGCGCTGCCGCCTGCCTCTCCTTGTGACCTTTCCGCCCCCTCCTCGGTGGGCGAATGCAAGACCTTACTCTCCTCCCCAACCCCTGTTGCCTCTCGGCGCCTGATATTTTGAGCCCCCCCCCCCTTTCCTGCTATCTTCACTATTCAGATCATGCTAATGGATTCATCCCTGACCAGGTTCCCGCACTTCCAGGTGTCCTCATGAGGCCGCATCCTTGGCTTCGCCTCTTGACTTTGCAGCTAGACTGGTAGCCAGTCTGGGGGCAGCTTTTGCCGCCTTCTGGCCTGGAAGTACGGTCGCCGACGCTAGCAGCCGAGGTTATTAGGGCGCGGTTGTGCCTGTCCTGAAATAAGAGGATGCCTCTCTTCAAGAAGGCGTTACGGCTCTCCAATCGCTCCATTTTCGTCTTCGTCTTCGTCTTCTCTTTTTCCTCCTCATGTCTCTATTTTATTTACGTGGCTCCTGGAATAGGTAAGAAAGGACACCCCCTTCTCCCCCCTAAGGTGGGTGGGTGGGATTAAAATACATGCCACTCTTACCTGTCTCAGGTCTAAGAGATGTATTTCTAGCTGGTTTGGTGATGATGGTTCTTCATTCATCTATTTATTTACAGATCACTTATATGCTTATTTACAGTGGTGTCCCTTGGGGGGAGGGGAAACAGTTCAATGGGAGGTGATAATAGGAATCTGCAGGGTGTATAGTCTTGGTGTGACTGTTTTCCTATGTTCAAGTCATCTCCTGGTCTTGCCAGCCATTAAGTCCTGGATATATGTGTGTGAATTCATGAATTGTCACCATTTCATTGCAGTAAGATAATGTAAAAATGTGTGATAAACAAAAGCATAGAGAGGATAAGCTAAATACAGAATCTTATTTGGGCTGTATTTTTGATTGGCATGGATCATTCTTGCTCTCCTAATGTGAGAGCGATTTACTTGTCTGTAATGATCATATTCAGAAGTGGGGGGTTGCGAGATGAGAAAATAGTTATTATCACCATTCCAATTGGGAGTTGTTGCTACTTTCAGAATCACACCCATCACTCTCAAGGTCATGTCTGAATGTGTGAGATGACTGGGCAATAGCTGGGATTGTGTTGGACAGTACCTGTGAGATAGTTGAGACTAGAACAGCTCACACAAATACATTGGGATTGTATGGGGTAATTCTAACATTTATTTATTTAAATGGCTAATGGCTGAGAGCATTTACACATACAGAAATTGTTTAAAAACCAATTCCTCTTGTCCAAAATAGATGGCTTGGCTTCACTTTACTATATTATAATCAACATTCCTTCCAACTATGTTGCTGTAGTTACCTTTCCCTATAATTTTTTATTTGTAGCTTTATTGCTACAGACATATGTATTTATTGTCAGTAATATTCTTGGGTGTCATGCCAAAGTAGAGGAGAAACCTACAAACTGATGAAGCGAATATATTTTGAGCTGCTTTCAATTTGATTGGTTTAATATATTGAGAAGAATTGTTCCTTATAGGCTATATATTAAAATATTTATAACCCAGTCTTACAAGATAGTTATGTAAACTTTTTAAACAATTAAAAATAATTACAGTGTAACAAATAGCACTCACATTAAATTATGACACTGATCTAGATAACAGCAACAATTATAGAATTTGAATGTGTTCTATGCCATTCCACCAATACAAAGATCAGCTGCACACATGAAAATGGAGAAAAGTATTTAACATTGCCATGTGCTATCCTGTTGCCTCTGACTTACAGTAGTCTCCAAAATATCCTATCTTCAACAACCCTGTTCAGCTCTTGTAAACTCAAGGTGATATCTTCCTTTATGAAGTAAATCCATGTCATATTTCATCTTCCTCTTCTTTTGCTGTCTTTAACATCATTGCCTTTTCAGTGAGTCTTGTTGTCTCATAATGTGCCTAAAGTACAATAGCCTCAGTATCATGCCCAAAGTATAGCAGCCTCAGTTTCTCTAGAGAAAGTATAGCAGCCTCAGTTTCTCTAGAGCATCATATTTCGAATGAATCAATTCTTTTTCTGTCAGTGTTTTTCACATCTGTACATAGCAATAAGGAATACAGTGGAATGGATGGTCTTGACCTTGGTCTCTAGTCACAGATCTTTACACTTGATGATCTTTTCTAATTCTTTAATTGTTGCCCTTGCGAGTCTCAGTTGTCTTCTAATTTCTTGGCTGAAGTCTCCATTTTTATTGATACATGTACCATCATAGGCATCCTTCAGTCTCGAGAGACTATGGTATCGTGCTCTGCATGGAGGACTTGGAACAGCATCTAGTGTGGCTGAGAAGGCCAATTCGAGAGTGACAATCCCTTCCACACTTAGGACAAATACAATCTAGCTCCCTGATTTTGCTGCTTTCCTGATTGCCTCTTTGCCTCAGCCTGCTGGACAAGGGTCTCTTCAAATTGGGAGAGGCCGTGATGCACCGCCTGCCTCCAGGCTGAACACTCAGATGTCAGGTTTTCCCATCTGTTGAGATCCATTTCCAAGGCCTTCAAATCCCGCTTGCAGATATCCTTATATCGCAGCTGTGGTCTCCGTCTGGGGCGATTTCCCTGCACTAATGCAGCTGTGGTCTCCCTCTGGGGCGATTTCCCTGCACTAATTCTCCATACAGGAGATCCTTTGGAATCCGACCATCAGCCATTCTTGCAACATGCCCGAGCCAACGTAGGCGTTGCTGTTTCAGTAGTGTATACATGCTAAAAATTCCAGCTCGATCTAGGACTACTCTATTTGGAACTGTGTCCTGCCAGGTGATACCAAAAATGCGTCAGAGGCAACGCATATGGAACGTGTTCAGCTTTCTCTCTTGCCGTGCATGAAGGGTCCAGGACTCATTGCAGTACAGAAGTGTGCTCAGGACACAGGCTCTATAGACCTGGATCTTGGTGTATGCTGTCAGCTTCTTATTGAGCCATACTCTTTTTGTGAGTCT